CTGGCATTCACCATTGTGTGTCCTCGTTGCTTTCTCCTCCTTATTGATAAAATGCATGTGTTTACTTCTTCTAGAATATTATGAGCCTCAAGAGAATAAAGAATGCCAACTAAAGCACTATAAATGCCAGAAGAACTCCAGAGATGCTCTCTTGTGAGGTCCATGTGACTCGTGTCTTGGGAATGGGATCTAACTTTACTAGGAGTGTGCTCTGTATTTAAAAAAAAAATCTAACCAAGACAATTTTACCTAGAGTCTCTAAAATGAAAATGACTTCAGTATCAGAATCAGCTTGTTTTGTTTCTTTTTTTAAATTCTGGGAAGCGATACTTTTACTGACAGTGGTTTAGCAAGAGACGACTAGTCAGAAAACATTACTCCTGAAGATGAATAAGCGGAAAAATGATAGTTAGACATTAATTTCCCTTATCTATAGCTGAAGGAACACCTGCAAGCAAAGATAAAACCTAAGATTATACAATTCCATACTTTATTTTAAAGGCTTAAAAATCTGATATGCGACATATGCATGCCCTTGCCCATGTGTTTTTTCTTGGGTGTACATCCAGAAGGAGACCACAGGTTGACTTAAAGTGTCTCCTACTATCTCTTTCCTTCTTGTATTGTTAGACACGGTCTTCCACTGAACTTGGAACTCTTCCTTGTGGCTACACTGGCTGGTGGGTGAGCCCCCAGGATCCAGCAGTCTCTGCTCCTCAGGGTTGAGGTTACAGACAAATACCACTGAACCCTGCTTTTATGTGGGTATAGAGACTGAAGGTCTGGACCTCATGTTTACGTAGAAATCAGTGTACTCAGCTACTTCTCCATACATATATGGAATATATAAGGAATCCTCAGTGATTCGTCTTGGGTGATGTGGAATCAAAGGATTCTACCCCAGCAGGGCTGACCCCATACTGTTTTTGTAGAACCTGATCAAAATGACTGGATCTCAAATCTAGTGCTACCTCAGCGTTAACTGCAGTTTTGTTCAATGATACATTAGGGAACCCAACCCCAGGTCTACAGAATCAGATTATCCTTGAGAAATGGTTGGCCACTTACAGCCATAAGAAATCACCTGGCTAGTTCTAAAGCTCCCTGTCTGCTCTAAGTCAGAGTGGCAAGATGTGTGGGAGAACCAGAGATGAAGTTCTGGGTTTCTCAAACTTTAGTGTGTGTGTGTGTGTGAACAGTGGGCGATCTCATTAAGAGCAAGATTTGGTTCAGCTGGCCCGGTGTGGGGTTTGAGAGTTTGCCCTTATTATAAATTCCCAGGTGAGATCACTGCTGCTTTTGAGTAGCAAGGGCCTTGGTGGCATAGGAAAGGACCCAAATCTCTCGCAAAAAATAGGTGATGGATTTCAGTGATGAATAATCTGGGGACTTAATTACATCTGAAGGAATCATCATAAAACACCTCATTTTAATTCTGTTTAACAAGAGCTTGGCTAAAGGTCATGAATTCCTGGTGCCAAATGATACAGTGGGGGGGCAGAATTAAAAGTGATCCAGAATTCAGTGATGTCTGTTTCTAACACAAAACAGCACCCATGGACAACCAAAATCTACCAGACTCTTTTTTCTGTGACTGTGTCCTTTTTTAATGGTTTTATATATATATATATATATATATATATATATATATATATATATATATATATATATATATACTCATATAAATATGAAAATGATAATTGCCACACTGACTAACAGAACAATAGAAATATGCTTCCCCAGACAGATTATTTGCTGCTCATTTCTGTGTTGCCTTATGAAGGTCCAACAATGCACACTTTTTGAAACAGGATGAACAGTAGCCCTTACAGTGGAGTTCATGGCATTACCGAATACCCCACTGATACAGTAAGAGGCTGACTCATTTCCTTCTCCCTGTATGATATGTTACAATTGAAACTAGGATGCCATATGGTAAGTCTAAAATGCTCAGTAGGTCCAGTAGCTTTTGGTGACTCTGCCAGCTCTTAGGTAGTATTCAGGTTGAAAAAAAGAAGTGTGAGAAAATTGTAACTACTAGTCTACATTGGAGGTTTCTGAATAGAGGGGAGATTTGATCAGGTAATCATTAACTCCACTGGACAAAACAGATAGATGTCTGACATGCTCTCTTACAACCTTCAAGATCCTCTTTGTTCTTTTCTTCAGAATTTCCAGGCTGCGTCTGTCTTATTCACAGCATTACTGTGTGCATGGCTTCTAATGGAGCCCATAATGAGAATATTTATTTCCTTGTCTTTAACCATCAAGACTGTCAAGAATGTCAGAACTGCTCAAGAAAGTAGATTTCAGAGATGCTGACTGCTGCCAATGGAGACAGACACATTTCAGAAGTCTATGGCAATTTTTAATAACATTCTCTGTGGGAAGGGGGAAGGAGTTCAACACCTCATCTTCAGGCAACACAGCCTCCTCGCTTCATCATGTTGTGTCTTTTTCAGTGCCATCATTACACCAGGGAAAAGGGGCACTTTGAAAATACACCTCTAAGATGAATTGTCAGAGTCACTGTCATGTTGCAGAATCTTAATACTGTAAAGGTGCTTATAGAAGAAATTAGTAGAACTACCATCTTTGTTTTAATCAGATTACATAGTCATAAAGTAGTAGTCTGAGGAAATTTCACCAGAATCAAAACAGTTTTTGATGGTTAACGGGCTTTCTTTAGAAAGGAGAGGCTCTTCAATAAGGTAAACACAGTTAATAAAGACAATCATTAGCATGTATTGAGTTGCAATTATGGAATAATGGGAATAATAAGGATCAGAGAGTTTTGTTGTAAGTTCTTCCCTTACAAGACAAGAAGAGTGAGGCTGAGAGATCTCAAAACATTTACACAATTTAAAATAATGATTTGAAACAGGACCAGTAAAAGCCCCTTTGTCTATGAGTTTAGGGCTTCTGGTTTTATTTGTAAGGAAATGAATTGTTAAGGAAAGAACCCCTCTCCAAAGCATACACCCCAGAAACCCTACAGTTTCACATGCTAGATAGACTTCACTGGTCGCTTCCCTTTCCTCCTGCTTTACAAGCAGTGTTCTCCCACTCAAACTGAGCTTCTGAGCCTTCTCACTAATCGTTTTTTCTTTCTTTCTTTTTTTCTGCTGGAAATGTTAAATGTGATATTAGATTACAAATGAAGTTACAGTGACAAGGCCATGACTTAGTTGAGAAGCTTATTAAAAAATCAAGAATCTGTGTGTGAGCTCCAGAACCCCAGAAAATATCTCTGTGATGGTATGTATCAACATATCACTGCTGGGGAGGCAAAGACAGACAGATACATATCCTGGCTGAAAATCTCCAGAACAAGAGAAATTTTGTCTCAAAACAAAACAAAAACAAGCAAACATACAAAACATTCATGAAACTAGGTGGATAGCTCCTGAGGAATGTCACCAAGGTTGACCTGTGGGTTTGTACATCCCCTTCCCCACCCGGCACTCACACATGGCTTCTCATATAAAAACAAAGGGAGTTACAGTGCTGAATACAACACAAAAACAATAGTAGTTTCAAAGAGCAAGTTTAAAGGTTTGCTCGTTCAGCCATAAATGCCAAACAGAAAATTTATAGGCTCATTACAGTAGACAACAAACTCAATCAGAAGTCCTTACTAAGAATAGATATTATTACTCTTTTAGGGAAAACAAACAAACAAACAAAACCAAAACATTTCTTTACTTTGATATTACACATTTGAGTATTTTGCCTTCATATATATGTGTGTATGACATGAATGCCTGGTTCCTGAGGAAGCCAGTGGGTTCATTCAGATTATCTGGAACTGCAGTTATAAATGACCATGAGCCACCATGAGGAAGCTAGAAATTGAACGTGTGTCCTATGTAAGAGCATCAAGTGGTCTTAGCTGCTGAGCCAACTCTCCAGCCTTGGAGCTTATCAAGTTTGTCATAGAAAACTTTTGCTAAGGGGCTGGATAGAAAGCTGAGCAGTTAAGGGAACGCAGGTTTGATTCTCAGCACTCAAATGGTAGCTCACAGCAATGTGTAACTCCATTTCTAGGGATGTCGTGTCTGCTTTTAACCTCAGAAACTAGCTATATGTAGGCACACAAACCTTCAGAAAAAATAATTATGTATATAAAATTAGCACAAAAATTATTTGTGACATTCTAATAAGTATCATTACTTAACCTGGAATGTGCAGTAACTTCTGCTTGACATTTCTCAGTATTATCTTTTATAAATATTTCTCAGGGCATGAAGGGACTGTTTAAAACTCTTGATTTTTCAGTGTCTTTTGCCTGTAGGTTTGATGAACTAAAATACTGTGTTAACTGTTTCCCCTTAGTTCTCTGAGCTTTTATAGTAAATCATCAACCTGAGTTAGGAGTAGCTAGTCAAAAACACTGGAGACTAGAAAGTTCCTTGCTCCTGGCCCTGGAGGTAGAGTAACCTTGTATATCTGAGCCTTTTACCTATGAGTTCTCATGCTAACTCTAGGAAGTGGTGTCAGAATGGAATAAAATCATTTCGTAGCCAGCTGGTATCTAGAATGCTGGAGAAATGCTTCTTGGTACAGAAAATCAAAACATACATATTTGGTGTCAGAAGCATAATGGGGACAGCTCATAGATCCCTCCCTAGACCCTGAATAGGAAAAAAATAACCTATCACTATCTTTTTCTTCTTAACTCTGTAGAGATATAAATAGGTACTGAAAATTTAGCTACATTGCCTGACCAAATAAGAGAATTCTGACTTTGACTGACTTGGATATATATATATATATTTTTTTTTTGTACCAGGCACACAGTGAGATGTAACATTTGTACAAACTGATATTTTTCTATTCTGATTATGGGAGACATTCATAACAGGTCTTACTCTACATAGAAAGACTACAGGGCTTTCTATAAATGACACTGTTCCCTCAGCTGCTGTCAAGAGGGAGGACGTTCTGCCAGAAAAGCATCAGACAGTGAAGTGTGCACATGTAGACATGTTTATAGGTACCTCCAGAATGGGGTGGCGGGCCGCACAGGAGTACCATTCCCTGACCTCGACGGACCGACACTGTGCTTCTTGTTCTTGTTTTAAAGTTTTCAAGGTCTGTTGGGAGAAATGAAGGAAAACATATTTAAGCTTTACAGCCCTAAGACACCGTGGGACACTATCGCTATTTCCAAGAAGGTAGTTGTGCTGAAAAATATTTTGGATTGCACCTATACCAGTGAAATTCTGTTTAACTGATACTGACAACGTTTTAGCAATATTGTCCCTTACTCCTAGAGTCCATTGCTAGATTGTCCAATAAAATGGGCACTTCCCATGTATGCCTATTCACACTCAGAATAATTAAATGTGCAGTTTATTTCCTCAGACAGCCCTAGTCGATTTTGAGTACCCCATAACTATTTACCACAGCCTATAACACACATAAAGAACATGTCTATCATTCTAGAAAATTCTACTATATATTACCCACTTAGGTAAAGTTTGTATGACTTCCTGTAGTTAAGCATCATTGTTATGATACAAACTCTTCCTGGAAGAGATACCGAATCCCACTAAATGATCTCTTCTACAGTTTTGTTCTTACCATGTGTCCAATTTACCTAGTGGCACAAAAAAAATGAAGAAGTTATTGGTAATAGATACACAATCCATTTAGACATGAGCGACCATTGCTTCTGACTTAAACAGTGTGAAGAACTGGGAGAAGAAGCTAGAAAGATGGCTCAGTGGTTAAGAGAACTTCCTGATCCTTCCAAGGACCTGGGTCCAGTTTCCATCATGCACTGGCAGCTCACAACAGTTTGGAACTCCAGTTCCAGCAGATATGACACCCTCTCCAATCCCCACAGTCACTGCACACACACACACACACACACACACACACACACACACACACATACAATGTACATACATATATGCAAGTACAACACTCATACACATGGAAAGAAAAGTCAATAATTTTTTTTAAATGGGAAAGAACATAATGTAATATATACAACAATTGTCAAGTGTTCTACTTGAGCTTTAAAACTGGGATCCAAATGCTCGCTTTTTATTTTATGAATGCCATCAGTTTTATTTAATATTTGAGTGCTCAAAGCATATTGTACTTATACAACATTTGGGAAAATGTTGAGAAATAGTTGTAGTTAACAAACAGTATTCCAGGTGGAGAACTAACTCACTTTGAATGGAACGACTGTATTTGGATAGATCTGAGATTTGCAGCCATCTCTGCCTCCTATTAGTTGTGCCTATCTTGGGCACATCTTAATTGTATGAGCTGTAAACTGAGAATTACATGAGGTTTGTTTTCAATTAAGAGCCATGGCAAAAGTTAAAGAAAATACTATGATAAAATATACATAGCCAAACAAATCCTTTAACACTGTAAGGTGAGTGTTCAGTATAAGCTCTGTCCACAAAGGACTGTTATGACTCCACAGAAAATCATTCCTTGAGCATCTCACTTTTAAAAAGACAACCAGGTTGCAAATACACATCCGAGTGAGCTCTAGATGATAAGAAAAATAAATTATATATATGCCCATATTTAGGAAAATATGATAGGCCTCAAACTGATATTTTCAAATGTCATAATCCATCCAAAGTCTAACTAACTAGTAGCAAGGTAACTCATTTTTATACTTGCACACTCATGTCTGAGATTTTTCCTGGCAATATTTATAATGCAAACAATAAAATATAAATTATGTAGTATAAATATTTATAACTTTCATTATAGAATATATTTTTACATCCTTAGCCAGCACTAAAACAAAGAAACAAACAAACAAAATCCATTACAGTGTTAGAGGCAAGATATTTCATTCCAAATGGTTGTTCTAACTGTATAAAAATTCACTGAGATGTATAGTCTTGGAGTCTGGTTAATTTCTGTGTGTGTGTGTGTGTGTGTGTGTGTGTGTGCATGCATGTTTGTATGTGTTTGTATGTGCATGTTTTGTTGTTGCAAGGTTTTAATAGTAAAGTCTAACAAAATATATACATATGTTAAATGCAAACTAACAAATTTGCAGTCACTTTACCACCAAAGCCTTGATATTAGATAACGATAGTAACCATTACATTAGGAAAGACAGCACATCCTGGACAATATTTCTTCACTATCACCACCACACGACTTGCAACAATACCCATTTGCAAACCATACAGGGGAGGTACCATGTATCAAGTACTTTTCTTACACATCTCCACCTAGTTCCATTGTGGCTTCAATACTCCATTCATGGGTAATGTAACAAAATTCAGTGTTCGTGTAAGAAAGTCCAGTGTTTCAGTGCTAATGCACCCAGAAATATGTCAGGATAGCACAGCTATGTCTTTTCCTCCAGAGCCATAGAGAGAGAGAAACCTTAGCTTCACTAGGAATGTAGTGAGGTCAAGACAAAGAACATCCAAACCAGTTAATTGCCACAGATAAGGTTTGTGCAAATGAATTTATCAGTGTATGTGAGGGTGGCTCCATTTCGGTGGAGGGTATGTTGACTAGGGATCTCAGCCCCAAGTCTTCTCTTGGCTTCCACTATGGATGAGTACTTTATGTAGAAATTTAAATTTTGTGTACAAAAGATAAAACAAGAGGAGGAAGGGCAAAACAAGCCTAGTAAGAAATAGAAAAGTTTCCATGGTAGGAACTGACCTATTATTTTCTTTGAGTTCTAATCCCTTTAACTCATGTATTTGGTTACTAAAGTTACAGCTGAATATAAGACATAATACATGACAAAGAAATAACATCATGTGCACCGTTTCTTGAAATAGCATGTTTTTCTAGATTTAAGTATGGCTCATTGATATGCTATGCACAGACCTTAAAAATAACTACCTCTGGTTTTGTCATGATTATATTTGTCATTATTTTAGGTAAAATTTTCAGAAATAATGTGCTGAGGGATGACTAATTTTATGGTAGATATGTTTTCAAATCATATTTTTACTGCCGTGTATTTATCCTTTATTCTCTTATAAGATATATTGATATCTTATTTTTTACCAAAGTAGAAAATGTGCTACAGCATTGGGGGTAAGGTAGCTCATGGAGAGCACAAAAGTGATTTAATAGGTAAATTCCTGGAGGAATGAAGGGACACAAAGGCCTTAAGATTGCAATATACAATCACTAATAAAAACCTTTGAACAGAAAGACATTTGGAACTCAAACCACAAAGTAAATCAGAGAGTAAGATGGAAAACATCTAACTATTTCCTGTCTGGAAAGTTATTAAATTTTGAGAGCTGGTAAAAAAAAAATGCTTTTCATAAATACTTGGATACGTTTCAGAACCAATAAAAGCAACATGATTCAAGAAATTTTTGTGAGAAGTAATAACATTGACTAAGAAAAAGCAATTTATTTAAGCCACCATTAAGAGACCAGCCACTGCACACGTGGGTAGGAAGGACTGAAGCTATTTGCAAGCTGGCACCTCCCCGAGGAACATATAAAAAGTTGAGTTGTAAAATGGCCAGGAAAGGTTAATGAGATAGTAACACACATCATGGTGTGCTGTAAGTCCACAGAGGAAAGGGAGAAAATGAAGAATGAAAAATGGCATCGTAAACTATGCACGTAATGCAATCACTTTTAGTTACATATTCTGTAACTAAATAGAATATAATTTTAAAAATACAAATTTATATATATATTTTTTTTTCTAGATTGGATAGACTTGGATTCAATTAACTCTCACAATGTGTCCTTAGCACAAGAAACTGTCAGACCCCATCTTCTGTCTTATTGCTTCCTTCAGTTAAAAAAATAAAAAGCAATCAATACGGAAATCAATATCAACCCAGGAAGACGGTAAAGTAATACATTGGTTATGGATATGATTTCCATAATGATGATTTCAACATTTATAAAAAGAAGGAGGTATTTTCGGAGAGTAATTCCAAAACCCTGTTACCAGGCAGCATATTTTAAATCATGTCTCGAATGTCTTCCATTTGCTCCCTAAGTGTGGGTGCACATATGCATGGTTCTTGGGATTGCGGAGGCTCACACCCAGAATAAATCTGAATTCACGAAACCTCATGGGTTGCAAAGCCACATTTCTTAAATTCTTTCCACTCCGGAAGGAGGAAGAAACCATTAGCGAGACTGGCATGGTTGACTGGATTTCCAAGAGTGAGTTTATAGCAAGAGGAAGAATTGCTTAATGGTTTATCACACTGGCTTTGGAGTCAGAGGCCTGGTGGAAGAGCTCAGCACTTCTCCTCCATCGCTGTGTGATGTGGGCGAATTCTTTAATCTCCTTGAACTTCAATTTCTTCATCTCCAGTATCAGGTCAATAATTCCCATCTCATGGGGCTTTCTTAAGATTAAAATGATGTGTGTAAAGTGCTTACTTAACTCACTGCCAGTTCCAAAGTCAGTGGTCTGTAAGTGTTAGGATTACCATTATCAAAGGAGTTTCTATACAAAGTGACTCACCAGGAGAGAATAAGCTTAAGTTTCTACGAGAGTGACATTTGTGTATCACAGGTTGTTGGGACATATAACACACGAACAGACAAACACACATAGACACACACTCCTAAACCACTTTTTCATTTTGTTTTTTGTTTGTTTGTTTTTTTTTCAAGGCAAGGTTTCTCTGTGTAGCGTTGTATGTCCTAGGCTCACTTTGTAGACCAGGCTGGCTTCAAATTCACAGAGTTCTGCCTGTGTCTGCCTCCCCAACATAGGATTATACGAGTATCCCACCGCACCCAACAATTTCACTTTTTATTATTCATCTGTGTGTTTGTATATGTGGGGTATATTCAAATGAGTGCTGATGAGTGCAGAAAAAGAAACCGGGTCTTCTGGAGCTATAGTCACAGGAGGCTGTGGGTGCTTAGAACTGGATTCAGGTTCTCTGGAGAAAGTACACATTCTTATCTACTAAGCTGTCTCTCTTGATCTTTGTCATCTGTTCTATCCAATGTCCAGCAAAAATTCTTTGAGCTCCTTGTTGTTTGTTAACAATTATCACTATCAACCCCTTTCAGCAACAAGTAAGCAAAACAAAGCAAATCTCTCTATATAATTTTCCCAAATGCCTGGAAATCATTTTCTCTCTCTCTC